ACCGGCTAAGGATATCCACAAGCTACGTCTTTGAAAAAGTCCTTCCATGAATGGATAGCCACGATAGTTGATGGCAAATATGGCAACTTGTTGAGCAGTAGAAACTAAAAATACCATCGTATTCACTATATTGGGACTAAATGTATCATCAACGTTGACAACAAAGTCCACGGGAAGTTGCTTCTTTCCAAAATAAGTAGCCAATACCAATGCTGCTGTATGTATCATAAACTGTCCCATCATCGAAGTAAACATATAGGCTGAAAATATCGAACTGGGAGGTCTTTCTTTAGATAACTTCTTTAGAGGCTTCGACCTCGAAATCAAAAAGAATACTATAGCAAATAGAAAACCTGTAGTTGACATTTGTTTGTCTCCAAACTTCACGCCTTGTAAGAGCAACACAGAAAGACTGTAAGCAGAGACTAGACAATTCAAAGCCATAATTTGATACATCTGCATAGTTGTTGCTAAAGTACAGCGGCCTTGTCTGACAATGGAAAGACAAGAATCAATGGTCATGTTCTTAGAAGTAAAAGGTGAAGCAATGGATGCATCTCCTAACTTCACTAGAGGAACTTCATCTTCTCCACTCTCTTGTTGCATTGATTCTAACTTCTTCAACCAATCCGATTGATTACTTCCCAAATCAGATATCCCTCCAGAACCTTTCTGGCTGCTGTTGGATACATTCTTCTCCTTCCTAGATAACATAGAAACCTCTGTTCTTGACCTACTTCGTTTATTACTATCCAAAGAAGCAGAAGCCTGAGTAGGCATATTGTTCGTTTCTTTACCAATAGCTGGTTTACTGTTTCCAGGAAACGATAATAAAGCAACTCCAACATGTGCATGTTTCAAAGCACCGACATCGTTGGTTCCATCACCACACATGAGGGTGATATGACCACTATCTTTCAACGCTGTAAGTATTCTTTCCTTTTGATTGGGATTCATTCTAGCAAAAATACGGAAACAGGAAAGATGTTGATAAAATTCAATTTCCAAATTGGCAGCCAACTCAAAAGCCTCTCCAGAAATACAAAGATCATATTTTTCTGCAAGTGCTTTCAACTGATCTGGTCGATAGTGACGTTTATGCTTTCCTGAGGTTGCAGAAATCCATTCCAATTCTGTCGGTGAATGTTGAGCAACTTGCGCTATCAAACAAGGTCTGTCAATCATTTCTACTTGACGACCAACATGAACTGCCGTCAAGACAGAGTCCCCAGTTATCATAGAAACCTTATGTGAAGAATCTCTCAAAGCACGACAAGCTTTCCTAGAATCCTTTCTCAAAGGAGCTTCAAATGCAACAAATCCTGCAAATTTCAAGTTACTCTCAACTTTAGTTCGTTCCATTGCAGCTGCCGTACTACACGACACTGAACGATCCAAAGTCTTATATGCCAATGCAATGACTCTCATTCCTTGTCTTGCTAGTGACATATATGCCTCGTGATACTGGAATCAACAGGTTCTTTTAATAATTGACCTATAACTTCAGGAGATCCTTTAGTAAGTATTCGCAATTCGGAATGCTTTGAAAAAGGTAAGTCCACTTGAGCAATGACACTCATTCTCTGCAAGGCTGAGGAAAAGCGATGACGATGCACAATTCGAATGGATAACTTCTTTGAAGAGTCTTGTCCATACTTGAGAGTGCAAACATTCGATTTACTCAACGAACAGTCCAATGACTTCAAAGCACATGTCTCCAGAGGGTCTCCAATCCATTCCCCATCCATCCAGGTGACAGAGTGACAACCTCCAATCACGACAAGTGTATCAACAGGTGCCATATAAATGGGATTGAGAGAACAACGAATATCCTCCATTTCTTGACTAGGAGTCACCTCTTCTCCATTCTCTTTATGAAAAGGCAAACAAAAGCCATTCAATCTCAAGTTGTCCTGTGTAATAGTTCCAGTCTTATCAAAACAGCAAATATCAAGCATTCCTGCAAAAGGAATCCTATATGGCTCTGTACAAAAGATACCTTCTTTGGTCAAAGCAACTAAACTAGAATTGACGGCCAATGCCAATTGCATAGGCAACTCTGGCGGAACCACCGAAGTAATAATCAATATACAATGCAATAAAAGCTCAAAACGGTTACGTTCTTGACTTTCCAATCCCTTTTTCAATACATATGCTGATGAAACCAAAGCAAAGAATAACAAGAACAGAATCAAAAATGCGGCTTCTTTGGCATTTGCCGATACCTTTTCAGTAGACAATAAAATAGTTCGCATTAATTTTCCTTGAACAGAACCAAAACCAGTTCTTAAGACATAACAGATGGCTCCATTGTCTGGTGCCTTTAAAGAAAAGGATTCCGATACAACGACTTGTAGCGTTCTCGTTCCACCAAAAATAACAGAATTTTTATCTTCTCCACGCATACTCAATGGACGTCGAGGATTGGTTTCAGAAACTAAACTTAACGCATCCTTCACAACAGGAATAGACTCACCAGTTAGCAAAGACTCATCTGCAACTATACTACCATTCAACACTAGTGCATCACAAGGAACTACAAGATCAGGTTCCGATGATCGAGTCACTGAAATAATATCACCAGGAACTATCTTAGTGGAAGCAGTCTCTTGCCATTTTCGACAACGATAAACGTAAAGTTGGTATGGTCTATTTTTCATTCCTCGAAGCTCCCGAAGGCTCTTTCTTCGTCCATTTGCTACAGTTGCTTC